TTGAAGCTTTGATCATGGCCCCCTTCAAGGGCCTCCCTTCGAGCTTGCCACTTTTCATGATTCACCATGCTCTTGGCCTGCGCAAGGGTGGCTGCAGCATCGGCCTTGTATTGGGTCGCACCAGCTTGAACCTTAATATTGGCCGCGACCGCCTTAGATCTGGCTACCTTGAACTCTTTGGCCAAACTGGCTAAATTGGACTCTAAGGGCATCCCATCATATCATCTCGGCCACTGTGGGCAAATCATCAACGTATACCAACTGATTAGGTGGTGCTGCGTATATAACGCCTTAACCTTTTCTCATATTCTATATACATATAATATACATATATACGCGTATATAACGCCATCTGGTCATGTGTCAATATACATGTATAAATGCATGAAATGCATAAGAAATACGTTAATAAGATTTTCTTCAAATGCCATAAATCGATATATCTTTCGGATAAACTTTATCAAATACGTATTTTTCTGAAACCCATGAACACAAGATATAATAATAATTCACATTGGGAATCAAGAATATAGACACCCCTAGTATTTCTATGAATGGAGTAATTTTATGAAAGTTGCATATTTTGCTTGCTTCATTTGTATTATTTGGATCATGCCAAAAAGAAAGAAGGGATAGCCTTGACATACCTGGAGTAGGGAAAAATTCATATGATATTCTTGGAAAAGATTGCACCAATCGCAAAATTTTTACGTTGTTAAGCTTTTAATAATTCTTGTTGAATTTAGTTGAAGAAATCTCGCTGCTATTTTTGTAGGGATTTTCACGAAATTTGGTAACAAATTAAACAAAGCTACCTTACTAACCTCTAATCCTCACGTCAGATTGTTTATATGGTAAGTCTTATTGTTTATATGATTTGTATGGTGAGTCTTATTATCTATATGGTTTGTATGGTAAGCCTTTAGAGCTGAGGTGTCTTTTATTTAGTGAAGTAAGTTGCCACCTAATAAGAAATGACTAAGATTCATTTTCTTAAGGTGTGGCCTACTGCCACGTGTGGGGTGGGGTAGAAAATATAAATCTTTATCCACTTATTAGATAATTAGGTAATGTCCAGTTACTTGGTAATTAATCAATTACCCGCATAATTTAAGAATTATATCAAATTACATAAAATGATACTCACTTTTAATACACTTTATATACCTTACTATCATGACCATATGGTACCTTGTATGGTACTAGTCCATTAATACAAGGTATTATACATCGGACAGTATTTTATCCCAAATCGTCAAACTTTGACAAAACTCATTTTCTTCGATTTGCTTACCCTCTCACCTTCACGAATTTATTTATCCCTTGTTTGAAATAACATACTACTTATAATCCCAAAATAATCTCATTCCCGAACTTACGTCGATTAACTTATGACAAAACTTTAACGTACAAAAATGCGGGATGTAACATCTTATTTCCCAACTTTCAACAATTTACTTATGGCGTACTTCCATGTACGGAAACATGGGGTGTTATATTGGCCCCTTGATATTTCCATCCAAGCACGCTCGGAGTATGACCTCTGCAACACCAGGCCCCTGACCCATTGCTCAAGAGCGGGGATCAGCTCCGGAATGACGGTCACAGCTACAACACAAAGGCTTAGATGAGGAGGGAAGATAAGAATCAAAAACCCAAAATTAGATATTCAAGGTGAAGCAATACTTACGATTCATGTTCCATTTTTTAGGGAACGACATGTCTTCGGCAGGGATTAGGTCCGAAGTCTTTATTAGGACAAATCTACCCATCCAACCTCCGTCTCGGGTCTTGTCTATGCTCGAGAACGGGGGTTTGGTGGCTCAGCAGTAAATCTTGATCATGCCTTCATGATAAAATCGGGGGATGTAGAGACGCATAAGGTGATCGAGGGTCAAGGGATTCCCCTCGATCTTGCTTGTAAAAAATCGAAGGAGGATCACGATCCTCCAAAATGATGGATGGATTTGGCCAAGAGTGACATCGTACCTCTTGGAAAAGGCGACGATTATAGGGTCTAAGCGACCTATCGTGAAGGGGTAAGTATAGACACTTAGATACCCCTCCACATGAGTTGTGATGGATTCCTCGGGGGTAGGAACTACTACATCTTCGCCTACCCAGTTGTACTCCTCTTTCACCTTCTCGAGAAGACCGTCTGTAATTGTACATATGTATCTCAGCATCGGTTCGCATCGACCCGGTGTCGAGGGTGTATTATCCACCTTAAAATTATCAGTAGTGGCGCACTTTGTCGGAACAAAGTCCTCTAGGGGAGGATCTGCCGCTGGTTGCTCGCCGGCCAGCCGAGATGAGGAAGCAATTTCTTTCTGCGAAACAATTTTAGATTTTTTAGCCATTCTTGTTTTTGTAAGAAAGGGAAAATAGAGATTGGATTATTTAGTGTTTTGGGAAGCACAAGCAAAGAAATTCAAAATCCTGGAGGTAAGAAGCTCTGAAGAATGTAAAGAATTATCAAGATTAGAATGAAAGAGATTGAAAGTAAAGTTTGAAAGAATGAAAGAGGTGGATATTTATTGGTTTCGCAACGACGGTTCAATTAACACTGGTAGTGGCCGACTGCCGACTAGTGCACATTAAATGCCTAGGAAACTGAATCGACGAGATGTTTAGGTCGCTTGCATCACGATGCTTACGTTATAGAAAATCGAGGGGAAGTTCGAAGACTCAATTCGTTTCTTGTCATTACACTCTAAAAAACGAGGAGACTATTTGTATACGGTCAAATCGGGCTTATCTAATCTGGCATGGCTAATCAAAACTGGTGTGGCAGACCAAGGCTCGACCTCGATTTGCATCGGACCATGGCACAGAGATGGATCGCTATGCTCGTGAGTTGATGATCGATCAAGATCGAGACCAACTGTGATCGAGATCGAGGCGAGATAGGGACCGAGCATGATTGAAGAAAGCCTGCTAAACCAAATAATAGAAAGCCGAGATATCCGTGACCGGGCAAGGATCGTGGCGAAAATCTCGGGCACGTATCAAGTCAAGACCTGACATTTAGCCAATCATGTGATTTCCTTCTATATTTAGAATTGTACCATAAGTAGAATTCCTCTACTATATAAAAAGGGTTCTAATTATTTTGTAAACACATTATTCACACATAGCAAAGTACTACATTACATTTTCTCCCAAGCTCTGCTAGTCAGTTCATACTTTTATTAGCATACTCTATTGGTTCGAGGGCGATCTAGCTCGAAGGCCATAACTGTTCATTATATTGGTTTGCTTTATTTTACTCTAAATATCTAACATTAATTCTCATATTCTTCAGTTTGTGCCAAGTGAAATCACATATCTTTAAAATCACTTATGAGTTTAATTGTTATCCAATTTGAAGGGTACACAAAAGTGAACATTATTCATCCGAGCATCAGGATAAAACCAATAACCGCATTGTAAAAGCTTGGCTAGAGCTAGAACAAATTTTTTGAATTTATTTTTTTAGAGTTCTAAGAAGAATTCGTAAAAGAAAGGGAAAATGACGAAACATTTGCAATCTGTCTTATATTATCAGTACACCTTTTGGTCCATAGAGTTAAATGTTATCTTTCATCTCAAATATACTCTTTATTAATAATTTTTCATCATTAAAAAAGTTAGCTGACCCATGTAGGAGTATATTCAGACATTTTCAATTGTTCAAGGGTAATTTGACATTTTTGATTATTTATAGCTGTATGCTTCAAGTTATTGCAAAAGGTAACATAAATCATTCGGATAGTTTAGGGGTAAATTAAGATCTTTTGTTTCTTTATGTGGCTCTAATGTGACATAGTATGTTATAGCCAAGCTGGACAATTGATAGAAGAAAGGACAAATATAAGATGAAATTAGCAGCGCAAGATTTTTATGGACTGAAATATAAATAGAAGACAAATGAATTTAATTCCTTTTCCCAAAAAAAAAAGTTAAAGTGAATTGCCAAATGCAAAATAAATATTTGCAAGAATTATTAGCTCCAAAATAATGAGTGTATGCAACATTCAAAGGAGAAATTCAAAAATAGCCAGATTTACAACTGGTCATTCAAAAATAGCCCAGTTTCAAAAGTAATCGAAATTTAGCCACTTTTCATGCAAAGATAAATTTGAGCGAAAACACTGTTTAAAACCCGAAAAATACACCAGTATATTATGCTGGAGTTCCAGGATAAGTATGCTGGAACTCCAGCATAATATGATGGAGTTCCAGCATAAATACCTTAGAACTTCAGCATAATATACTGGAGTTACATCAAGTATAATTGTCCAGTATAATATACTGGATCTCCAGTATATTATACTGGAGTCAGCAAAGTATACCGGTCCAGCATAATATGCTGGAGTTCATACACATGTGCACCGAACTCCAGTATATTATGCTGGACCGGTCTCTGTTGCAGCAAAATAGTGACTATTTTTCATTGACTTCGTAAACGCTAGCTATTTTTGAATGACCAATCCGAAAACTGGCTATACCATGCTATTTTTACAACATGCTATTTTTACATCATGTTATACCATGCATAATTACTTTTGTATTTTTAAATTCGGGATCAATAATATCGAAATAGTTATATCACAATTATTATAATACTATTTCAATCCCCATATTGAAGCACTAAAATAACAAAAATACCCCTTTTCAAGACTTTTCTTCCGAGGTACTTTAAAAAATTCAAAATAAAATCGATAATAAGAGTTTATCTCAACTTAATTAGTGTAGACTAAATACATTTTTATATTATACCTCATATATCACTTTTCTAGTCCAATATCTAACAATAAAAACATACTATTTACTAAACAATTCCATCATTGTTTAACCCCATATCATAATTCCATCATTGACCCGCAAAGATTTCCTAAACACTTGGGAAATTCGAATCCTTAAACAAGTGGGATTTGGTCTACGTACTCTCCATTACAAAAGCATGCCCGCTGGCCTTCAAAGTTTGTCTTAGGGCTTTAAGAATTAAAAGAGAAACCATGACTCTCAATCTTGAGTTCGACAGCAACATCTACTCCGACTATACCATCCTTACACCTTCACAGCTTTCCTCTTGCGGCAACCCTAACAATCCAGACTTTCTGGTTCAGTTTCGTGTCTACTTTTCTCATGACTCAACATCTATGCATTTGTATACCTCAAAAACTGTTATTTTAAGGTCCGATTCTATTATTACTGATCTCAATCACTACGCAATTCCGTTATTCGGATCTCTTGGCATATTGGAAGAGCATCAACATAATCTTGTTTCTGAGATATCTTCCTTTGCTGATGAATTGGCTTCGGATAATTCAAATGCCGGTCATGAAACGATGTTTCCCATAGTCGTTTCTATTGTCTTCTATCAGGCAAGACGAAAGGAAGAAGCGGCAGCGTTGATTAAGGAACTTGGAAAAGTAGCGGTGAAAGAGGAGGATTATACTGAGGAGTGCCCTATTTGCTTAGACAAACCTTCAATTGGGGAAGAAATAACTTACATGCCTTGTTCTCATTTTTGTCACTCCCATTGTCTGCTGATGTGGTTCCAAAAGAATTCTTCTTGCCCTTTCTGTCGTTTCCATTGCTAACAGTGCACAGGCGAAAATAGGATTTAGAATCAAGCAGTTAGTATTGAACTCACTGAATTTTTATAATTACAAATTTAGAATTTAATATTTGTTAATATTTTTTGCGATGTTTTATGTGTTATATTGAAAATACTAATTCTGATCAACTCGTTGCACAAAAGATATATCCCACTCTGACTTCATTCCAAAAGATCGTGGATTCAAGAATTATATATTCTTGTAATCAAGTCAGACCTTCTAATTAAATTGTTATATTAGTTTTGCTAGAGAAAGTGAATTACGAAAACAATGATGATGAGAAATTGTATCAATCCAAGATTAGTAGTCAACTAGCAAGTACCTAATAAGTGAGTTGAACAGAAGGAATATAGGTTAATCAATTCATCCATAAGAACTCCAACCAGTTAGTTCAATCACAATTGATTCTTTAGATTAATTTAAAATAAATGAGTAATAATTCTACTAAAAAGGGTTATTCTTGATTTTTGTGGACCCTGGACTGGAACCAGTATTATAAACTAGCTACCAATTGATATATTGAGAGATTAGAAGAGCTGTGGACCAAAATATAATTGTATAAACTTTAGGGGCTTAAAAGTGTAAGTTAGTTAAGAGGTGTACATGTGTTGGTTATAACAATGCACCTCCTCCAAAATCCCTGTAATCTTTCATATAACGAACTCAAAAAAGAAAATGAAGCTCTTCTCCTCCTTCTCTCTAGTTTCTCTCTTTAGTTCATAGGTTTGCATTGATCATTGCATGTGTTAGATTCAGCTCAAATTCACAGTAATTCAATATTATAACATAGTATCAGAGCAGCGATTGCTGGATCGACAATAATTTTCAAGTTTTTTTGGAGCATCGAAGAATAGCTGAGCTCAACAATGGCGGATGATGAAATCGCGAATCTTCCTCACAATCATCCACTCTTCTTAAAGGATTCAGATGTACCAGGAACCGCACTTATCTCGCTCAAACTTACAGGGCCAGAAAATTATGCCTTGTGGAGTCGATCGATGCGAGTTGCTTTGCTGGTTAAGAAAAAATTAGGGTTTGTGGACGAAACTTGCCTTAAAAGCTCATTTCGAGGAGATTTGGCAACATAGTGGGAGAGATGCAACGCGGTGCTATTATCGTGGTTGAGCAACACTGTTTCAGCAGAATTGGTGACAAGTATTATGTATTCTTCAAGTGCGAAGAAATTCTGGGATGAATTCAAGGAAAAGTTTGACAAATCCGACTTGACCTTGATTTATCAGCTTTGGACAGAAATTGCAACCCGAAGACAAGGTACTGATTTTGTAACTAGCTATTTTTCAAAATTGAAGGATTTCTGGGATGAATTAGATATATTAGCACCGCTGCCTTTGTGTGATTGTGAGAAATCAAGGCCTTATGTGGATCACTAATAAGACAAAGGCTATTGCAATTCCCAATGGGATTGAATGAAAGCTATAGCCATGTTAGGAGTGATGTTTTGTTGAAGAGGCCAGTGCTAACTGTTAATCAGGCATATTCAAAAGTGGTGCAAGAGGAAAGTCAAATAAAACTTAGTAGAGGTCAATAGAGATCCTTTAACAATATTAGCAGGAAAAGGTCAGACATTTAAGAATAAAAGGCCAGGACTGATCTGTGAATACTGCGGATACAAATGACATTTGAAGGAGAATTGTTACAAAATCTTACGCTATCAACCAGATTTCAAAAGTAAGAAGAAAGGGCAATTCAATCCAGGGAAACCACATGCTAATATGGAAAACATAGATGAGGATGTGAGTGTGAAGAATCAGTATCAATAGGGCAATTTTTTCACTGAAGATCAATACAAACAATTGGTGAATATGCTGACAAAATCTTCAGCTGGTGACAATACTTCAAGTTCATATGGTTTTGTAAATCTTGGAGGAACTATATCTCTACTATCCAATGTATAATCATATGACTGGGTAGTGGATTCAGGAGCCTCACATGATATTACCTTTTGCAAAGACATTCTAGAAAGAATTAAGGAGATAGATAAAGATAGCAATGATGGAGTACAAATTCCTACAGGTTCTAGATCAGAGATTACACATACAGGAGATGCAATAATAATGGAAACACAAAGAATTACTAATGTTCTTCATGTTCCATATTTTAAGTTCAACTTGCTTTCAGTATCAAAGCTGACTAAAGAACGGTGTTGTTCAGCTTGCTTCTACCCTGATTTTGTTGTCTTTCAGGGACTCTTCAATGGCAAGGTACTGGGGATTGGTAAGGAGAACAATGGTCTATACATACTGAAGAGGGAGAGAGTAATAGAAACAGTTTCAATACAAAAGGAATCTGTAGATACAACACTATGGCATCACAAGTTAGGGCATGCATCACCAATGGCAATGCAACATTTACCAGGCTTGATGACTAAAGTGAATCAGAAAGTACAAGAAGACTGTCAAATCTATCCATTAGCCAAGCAAATTAGACTAAAATTTCCTACTAGTAACAACATATCTAGTTGTATTTTTCAGCTTGTGCATATTGATGTCTGGGGTCCTTACAGGACTGCCACTTATGATAGAAAGAATTATTTTGCTACATTAGTTGATGATTACAGTAGATACACCTAGATTTGCCTACTGAATTCAAAGTGTGAGGCGATCACTGTACTAAGAGAATTTCTGTTGCTAATAAAGAATCAGTTTGGATCAACTATTAAGGTTCTGAGATCTAATAATGGAATTGAGTTCTTTAATGCAAAATGTAATGAATTGTTGTCTTATTTTGGCATTGTACATCAGAGTAGTTGTCCCTATACTACTCAACAAAATACGGTAGTTGAGAGGAAGCATAGGCATATTCTAGAGGTGACAAGGACACTAATGTTTTAGAGCGGGATACCAACTGGATTTTGGGGAGATTGTGTCAAGACTGCAGTCTACACTGTTAACAAACTGCCTACAAGAGTATTAACGGGTAAATCACCTTATGAAATATTGTATGGGAAGCCTCCTAAGATAGACCACTTGAGAGTATTTGGGTGTTTATGCTATGCAAGCACTCTGCCCAAAGGAGATAAATTATCACCTAGAGCAAGGACAACTGTGTTGATAGGATATTCAGAAACTCAAAAAGGTTATAGGTTGTTTGATTTAGATTCCAAAACTTTTCTAGGTAGCAGGAATGTTAGTTTCAGAGAGAAGACATTCCCTTTTAAGCAATCAGCAGAGCCTTCTGAAGATCTGTTTCTTTCATCACCTATAGATTATACTGAGTGTGTAGTACAACCAACTCAGCATGTGCATGATGGTCAATCACTTCAAGAAGAACCCACTGAGGAACTTGCCCATGTGGAAGAAGAAGACACTAACACTGCAACTGATGAAAATGGTCATGCAACTACAGCAGATGACACTGGTCATGTGTTGGATGCAGGGGTGGAAAATGAAGCAAAGTTAGAATTAGAATCAGAAATGGGAAATGGAGCCTCAAAAATTGAAGTGCCCGTGCATGAAAATTTACATGAGCAACCTGTCACAAGTTTAGAATCTGTAGCTGCAAGGAGGCCTACTAGAGGAGTTAAGCTCCTATATGGCACAAGGATTATGTTACTAGTTGGACTCCTTCCAGGATTCTTGTTCACTTAATCACCAATCATGTTCAATATGAGCATCTACCAGCTCATTGTCCGTCTTATCTGACAGAGTTCTCCAACAATATTAAACCTTCTTTATTTAGAGAAGCATCACAAAATGACAGATGGTTTGATGCCATGAAACAAGAGATACATGCTCTTGAGGAAAACAATACATGGGAGATAGTTGACTTATCATCAGGAAAGAAACCAATAGGCTCAAAATGGGTCTACGAGATAAAATATAAAGCTAATGGGGAGTGATAACTAGGGATTATGATGCATTTTACTCTCCTTCTTGCTTAAGTTTTGATTAGAAATGTATACAAAATAGTCCCAAAGGCTCACATGTTGTACTTGATTGCATGGTTTGATCAACAATGTGATAATTTATCAAAAACCATCTCAAAAAGGAGTGAAACATGCACAAGTACCAATAACAAGGCCAAGCTCAGTCAAACAGCGCCAGTGCGGCCGTACACCATTTTGTGTGGTCCGCAAAGATGAAGTTCAGAGAGCAGGCATTTCAGGCAACCAAGCAATGCAGCCGCAAAAGATTTAGTGCGGACCACATTGATTTCACTGCGGCCGCACTCGATTTTGTGCGGTCCGCAAAGCCCAAGATCAGAGAGTTGCCAATTGGAGGATTATGCCCAATGCGGTCCGTGGTCTATTTTGTACGGACCATAATAGAAGCCACCGCGGCCGCGGCGCATTTTGTGCAGTCCGCGGTGGCTAACTTCAGAGAGCACATTATCTCATCCAAGAGCCTTAGTGCGGTCGCACTCGATTTTGTGCGGTCCGCACTAGCCCCACAAGGGTATTTTTGTCCAGAGTCTTTAGCCTAGCCCCGCAGGGGTGTTTTTGTCTAGAATTTTCAGCCTAGTATAAATAGTTTCTTTTCCCATTTTTAGGTCATCAGTTGTTTTTGGACGTAGAGATGCGCTCGCGAATAGTTCTCTTTTACCATTTTGAGTAATTTTAGCTTAATTTCATGCAATGGTTATATCATACTCCCCAAATGTGACAATCTAGCCTCAGACTCAAGAATCCGTCAATAAGCCACCTAGGAGAAAGTCACTACCCTAGTGCCTTTTATCTATTTGAACACCTCTCAATAGTTTAATCTTAGCTTTACTTAGCCTAATTTAGCATCTTAGTAATATAAAATTAGAAGTAAAATCAAAACAAACAATGTTTAGAAGTGCAATTAGGAACAATTACACAACTCCCATTTAGATAGAAACTCAACTCCAATATCTAGCTCTCTGTAGAAATTGATCCTGACCTTCTCGAGTTAAAGCTGCTTCGATTCCCCTTGCTACTTCATAGTAGTACAGGGTTGGCCTCGATCACTTTTTGGCACCGTTGCCGGGGAGCTAACGGT